CGTTTTCATGACAAAAGCCGAGGGGACAGTCGCCTCGGTGCTCCCTCCGCCCCGCGCCCGAGGCGGGGAGGCCCGGGCACCACGGCCAGGCAGCGCTTCACGACTCCTGCCCGCGGCTCTGAGGGCCTAGGCTTCCAGGAGCCACCCTGACCTAATGCTCTGAGGCACATCCTCACGTACCAACTACAACCCCATAGAAGCACCACCGTGATTAGCACTATCATCTACACCTCTGTGGTGCTCAGGCTGGAGTCAGACTTCCATACCATCCTTGGAATGGAACGCTGACCATGTCTCTCCCTGTCCCAGACCCCAGCAGATACCCTGTGGCCCCAGGACCCAACCTGTGTCCCACACTCCACAGCTTTGCCTGGCATGAAGCAGTTTCTCCCTGAGCCCAATCAAGACCCTGATCAAAGCATTACCCAGCTCCATCTCCCTGCCTGAGTAACAAAGACCTTGATATGTTACCAAAGGTGAATCCTGTGCAGCTTGTCCCCAGCCCCTCGTCACTCTGATGAACGCTGCTCACCAAGAACAACTCCACCCCACCCACCCTGCACCACACAAAAGAAGGCTTAAGGCTACCATGGCCCAACTTGCACATCTGGGTTCCAAGAGACATTGAAGGAAGTTCTTTTCACTGTAAACCAACTCCAACCCACTGGACATTAAAACCTAAACCCAGCTGCCTACCCACTGTCACTGCTACCAAAAAACAACTTGATGGGCTTGTGAGAACTCAAGTACTGCCCATTCTGGGATGCAAGACACAGCCAGGACTCTCCTGGAGCACTAAGGCAGGTTTTAGGAAGTCTGTTCCAGCGAGTCTGTGTTCTGCTAATGTGATACCTGCACAAGGCAGGTGTGATACCTGCTGGGAGGGGGAAATAGCTGTCATCTGGCTACTCCGTGGACCACACGCAGTCTGCCTTCCATGGAAATGAAATTATTTCCCACTTTATCTAACGGATATATCCCGTTGTGAAGTTTTTTTAATGTGTTTTATCTCCTGTAGTCCATTTTTGTTTTGCAGCTGCTCGGTGGAACATCCAAGACTGGGTTTTCCCACCCACTGACTGGGAGAAGTATGCAGCTGGGTCAGCCTAGGGCAGGGCTGCTTGAACCTCCCCATCAGAGCAAGTGCCCACTTTATTGCAACAGGACTGAGGGATCTTTATACATGAGGAAGAAATTATTTCCTGTGAGGGTGGTGAGACACCTGGCCAGGTTGCCCAGGGAAGCTGTGGATGCCCCATCCCTGGAACTGTTCAAGGCCAGGTTGGATGGGGCTTCGAGCAACCTGGTTCAGTGGCAGGTGTCCCTGGAAAAGGCGGGGGGGTTGGATCTATATTTTTAAGGTCTCTTCCTTCTCGAG